ACAGCTCTTCATTCAGAATTACTGATACAATCCAATAACCTGACATATTATCAGGTTATTGGATTACATTTGAGCAATACTTCTGCTTGAGGTAGGTATGGTGTCTTAGAGCTCTGAAACCTGAATAATTCCACATGTCCTAAATGGGCAGCTTCACTTTAGATTGCATTGACTATATACAGTAGATGAAAAATAGAAAACCAAGGTTGGAACATTGAGGACCAAGACTTTTTGTAATCAGCACAAATTGGGACTATGAAGCAAAGGGTGAAGACTGATAACAGCTGCCTTCACTATAACACCAGAACTCCCTCTGCTCTCATATGTCGACAGCGGGAGCAACCTGCATCTCCTTATGTGCCATAAAGAGATATTTAGATTTTTTTTTTACTTAAGTCATAGATTAGTCACATTGATTTTTCATGACTGTTTTTTTTTTTTTTTCTTAATATTAAGTCATGCAGATGACTTTTTAAGCAACAACTTAATTATCTTGCATTTAATTACTCTGCAGTGAGATTGCAGCTGCATGCCTGGACCAGCATTGTTATATGGCTGGTTAAACAAATGGTTTGCTTTTCGCCACTATTTTGCCAGCAGCGACAGATAGTCATTAAGTATATGATTTATTAACAGAAATGAAAAAAAAATGAAAATAACAAACATATTATACATCAGAGTAGAAGAAAGCCATTTGCTGTGGGTTGCTCTTGCCTAATGGTGCCTAATGTTGCCAAAGTAAAGTAGATCTTGGAGCTGAGACATAAATCTAGGGATCACTTTGATCTAAAAACTATTTTTTGATTCATACATTATTAATTCTTTGTAAAGAAAATTCTTTAAAACTTGATAATATGTCACAAGGTCAACATTTTTTTTCTTCTTTATTTAGTTTTTTTGTAATGGGTGCTTTTCAAGGAGCTGCATTATTATGCTGACAATTATAATTAACTGAAAGTAGAAGATGTTTCAGACAGGAACACAGCAGTAATAGGAAGAGCTGACTGTGCGATTAAGCCACAGAAGCTGTTGGACAACTCCTCCGTCCCTATAGATTGCAGCTTTATCTAATATAGAGAGACAAAAAAATCCAATTGAATCTAAGGGAGCATCATTTTAAGTCAGTGTTTTTCCATTTGGCATTTCTTTCTTTTGTGATTTTATAAACCAACCATTTATGTGCCTTGCTGTTCTTTGCAAGCTGCACACTTTTCATTAGTTAGAAAAATGTCGTCTAAGATGTAAATGGCTAAAAAAGAATATCATATGTATGTTCTGTTCAAAAATGTGTGTATTCTTAGTATGCATTTCGCCATACTTTTAAACATACTTTATGGGATTTACATGAACATTTGCAGTTCACCGTCTTCTTTAAGAGGAAGCAGACTGGCATTTAAGAATAAATAGTGTAGAAACAAAAAGTCAATACAAATTACTTAGAATGCTTTATTACTTTTACAACAGTGAGGTTTTTATGTAACAGAAAACTGTTACCACAGGTCCTTTAAGACTCTCCAAGTGAAAATGTTTTAAAGATAGACTGAGAATTTTTTTTTTCATTGCAGAATGAAGAAATATCTAAATGGCAATGATTCTCAGGAGTGGAAGAAACTAATCCATGATATCAGTTACTTTTCAAACATTGTAGTTATTACACATTCAGTCTGGAATTTATGTATTCAATGTTTTTGCTGTTGTATAAATTGGTCTGATGTAATATTTAAATAATAAACGTGCTTTATTTTGGTAGAGAGGATATTCTCAATTGAGGTTTAGAAGTTTGTGATTTAGATTTCAGTGAAATTGCACAGTCCAAGGTCTAATTCTGAATGAAATACAGACCAGCAGACTGCTCTGTAAAAGCAACATAATGCTTTTTTGGAGCAGCAAATTAATAGTTTTAAATCTACAACCAGCAACTGTTAATCAAACTAAATGCATTTTCAGATTCAAATAATTACCCTAAGCAATTCAACCAGTGAACTTATCTAAATCAGCCTGACTGAAGAGCGGGTCCGCATGGCTTACAATTTTAATGAAGCTCAAATAGATTTAAAGTTTGAACAGTCACACAATGCCGCTCACTCAGTTATCAACTCCAAATGTTCACACTTAAATTACCAAAGAACCAGATGCATTGTTATTTCGAGCTGGTGGTCAAGCATTTTTTTTCTATTAAAATGCATTTTATTTGTGCAATATATTTAATTCAGTATCTACTAGATTTAAATAAAGAAAAATAATACAGGGATATGATTAGAAAACTGCTTTATAGAGAATGATGTATATTTTTATGTTAATAAAAATATTTTTAAATATTTACTTCTCATATAATAGCAATCCCCAATGATCAATGTGATGGCCTGCAATCTCACTGACAGCCATGTTTTAGTTCTGTTTCAGTTCTTTCTTTTTGTGAATCAGACCTTGCATTTCTCGATTTGTTACTTTTTCAAGTACTCATTTTAGAGATTATAAAAGTATTATTTCCCTTTTGTTTTATCATTTGTGGCACATTACATTGAGTCAGAACCACATCCTGTAGAACAAAGTAATACGTTTGATAAAAAAAGATGCAAAGAGAAATTGCCCAGCTGATATAATGCATTCATGCATAGGAGATCCAATGATCGGAATCTAAAAATCTGATCTTTGTCCCAATCAGTGAACAAACTGCTTTTAGGTGCTAATAGGTTACAGCAGCCCTTTGAGCTGGAAGCTATTGAAGGATAATAACACAGGATCAGTTAAGGGTACACAAAAAGTTACAAGAAACTAAAGTGATGAGGGTGAAGCTGCTCTGTTCATATTAAAACATTTGCTTGAAGCTCCTATCTAGAAATACTAAAGAAGAGAATTGCTTTGATGATACCAAATATGACTACCCCCAATGTTTCCTTCCTCTTCACTATCTATCAACCACACCTTCAGCTTTAACACCCCAACCGCTAAAACTACACATCAAATCTTGGCACTGTGGACATTAAAAATCAATCCAATTAGTTAAAAATGTTATGGGCATGGAGTATTTGTATGCTTTAAGATTAAAATATGAATTTATAGCAAATATCACTTCCAGGTAGTATTTTCAGATTGCAATATGACCTTTTCTATATTGAAATGATGATTGGTAATGACGATATCTATCAAGGTATGGCAGATTTTTTGGGCTTCAACTTCCAGAGTGATTATCTTACTGTATCTATTGGTTGGTCAACATGGCAATCTTTGTGACGTGTTCACTTAACGCCACTGTATGTGCTCATTCATTGCCAGTTTCCACTCGCCACTCACTTCCTGTTTTGATGTATTGAATTCAATTCAATCCAATATAATTTAACTGTCCCTTCTGGTAGACAGATTACCAGATGCATCTCCAATTGATTGTGCTGTCCAGTTGAATAGCATGTATATACTGTATATATATATATACATGCATTCCACCTCCTCTGCTTATGGAATACTATAACTTGATGGTAATAGCAGTCAAGTGGTTCCTGTTTTGTTTTTGTTTTTTCTGAAATCTGCAATCTTCTCCTTTGTGTTGTTTACTTTCAGGATAAGAGGATTCTTTCCACACCATGCCACAAAGCAGTTCACCAGCTTCCTGTACTCGGCTTCTTGTCCCTCTCTGATGCACCCAATAAGTGCAGCAAGATCGAATTGCTTCTGTGGATGACAAGACTCTGTCTTATAGAGTTGGAGGTGTACAGAATAAAAAGCCATGGTGAGAATTCCCTGTGCTGCTCCAGTGCTGTTGGCATAATTAGGCACTGGACCCTTTAGTCTCACAAGCTGAGGTCTGTTTTTAAGGTGGTCTTTGATCCAGAAAAAAAAAAGTCCACTATACCTTTAAATGCAAAGCATATGAAAATAAAAAGCTTTTTCATACTAAGTTGAACACAGGTGGGATTTATTTAGTATGGATCTTGCAGAAACAATATTGATTAATATGTTAACCTTTTAATGTAAGTTTCGAGGTTTGAAGAAATAGCCTCTATAAAAAAGTAGGTTGTAATTATTTTGACATGGCTTTACATAGCACTAAGTTTGTAGATATTCCTTGTTGCAGAGAAATGGACAGAAATGGAAACATTTCAGAGATAAAAAGTAAAAATGTTATTTAGTTAAAAAAAGAGAGATTTTCATTCAATAAAACCTTTAATTGTAGTCCAAAGCTTAAAAAAATGACCAACCATAAGTAAGACACAAAATCTTTTACAATGGAGTCTGATTAATTAAAGGGAAGTTCAGCCCACTTACATCAGCTCTAATTTTTGATTTTCTGTTCCAACGTTGTTGTTTTTTATTTCAGACATACACATAACACAAAGAACCTAATATAAATAATTAATATCTTATTATTAAAATTCTCAGATCTTTTTTTTCCCGCTCATATTGATGGATGTAATGAGTGATAACTCTAATTATAGACAGTGCAGCAAAACATAAGGATGTAACTAATGATACAGCCCAGAATCAAAGACAGTGAAAAATGAATAACACAAAGCGTGAAATATATTCATACCTTGTGCATGAATCTGTGATTGGAACTGGTGCTTTCTATGATTACAGTGGAAGTAAAGCTTTTCGCTTTTGCTCAAACTGCTCCATGTTGCTAAACTGCCTGCTGGAGAAGTCTCATTAGGCTACGTTTCAGACTTTACCAGTACCAGCATTGCGTTACTCAGAATCCTGAGCGCTGTGTCACAGTGATTTATGACCACTGTTCTTCACTGTACCCTTGGGTGCTTTAGTGTACTGAAAACTTGGAGTTTTGATGACTACATCTAAATAAACAGACGTCATTAAGGAGCCATGGCAGTTTCCAGCTCAGAGGGATTTTTAAATGTTAGTGTTTGTGGGAAAGACCAGCCAAACATGAAAGGCCACATTTAAAGTCATCCAGCAATTAACCGATTGTATCACAGCAAAATATAACACACAGCATTGGTTTTAGAGCTTCAGTGTCTTAGTGATTCAAAGCAGCACTTTCTTACCTTTGGATACTGTTGGACAGGTATAAGAACCCTTTCAGAAAGCTTGATGTTTTTATTGCTGATAATGTCAAGGTATTTTTTCGTGTCATTATCTTTTTTCAGCTCATCCCCTTCGCACTTTCCGATCTCTGCGGGAAAAAAATCACAATGCAGAAATTAGAAAGGAATAATAGCATTTCATTTAAATGAACATGCTAACATCTTAAAATCAAATCTAAAGCTTTTATAAACATAAACAGTTAATTGGATTAAAAATACATCTAATATTGTATATTCTATAGTATTAAATATAGTTATTTTTAAAAAATCTTTTTTTGACTAGATTGTTTTAAACTAGAATAAATTGGAAATAAACTACATGATTGTGTTGAACTTACTAATTTTCTGCACATACATTTGAACTGCTTGTCTCGCAAGGTGCCCTAAAGACATTTGTTGTGAAATAGAGCAACTCAAATAAACAGAATTATTTTGATTAGATTGACAAGAAAAATGCAAACGTTGCTTAGTTCAGTGGTTCCCTAAATAGGGGCAGACCCCATAGGGGGGTCCTGGTGTGATTGCACGGGGGCATGGAGAAATGACTGGAATAAATTAAGATGTATTTTTTTTTAGCAAATGTACTGATTGCAAAGTGGAAATTTGTTTTACAGTAAAATAAAGAGTTTAAATAGAAATAACAAGATTCTAAAGGTAGTAGTGTTGGGACTTTAAGGAGAATATTTATTTAATTGCGATGCTTAATACACTGCACATGACTTATCTTTCTTCAACTGTCGAAAAGTTATTTGAGGGTTAAAGTTTATTTCAATTAGAGGGGTGTGTGAAAACTTCCCTGTGCACTAAAGGGGGGCCCAGCCAGAAAAGTTTGGGAACCACTGGATTTGTGACATTTCTCTGTTGTTGGCTCTTAAATTGTACTCAACATAACAGAAGCATTCACTCTCATTGTAGTTTTAATCTCTCACTTCAAAGGTCACTGATCTCTACACACATTAGAACCCACATCAATATAAAAAATAACCTTATAAAACCATATTACCTAGTTTTTAATTTATTTTGATTAGGTAAAAACTGATTAGAGTAGTTACGTTTATTTTAAAAATAAAACTAATTTCAGTCAGTTTGACATCTAGATGCTGTCTTTTATTTTATTTTATTTTATACCATAAAATGTTTCACCAGAAATGAAACAATCCCTAAAAAAGAGAAATTGGGAAATCTCTAAAAACACTTTGCAGTTAAGATATGTAAATCTGAGAATCAGGTTTGTTATTATTTTGAATTGAAATCAAAAAGTAAAACAGAGGTGTCAAGCAAATAATGTACCCCTGCACAATTACAATAAGCCTTAATTTAATTGATGTATTATGCATGCATTTTGATGAAAGTCCACGCAATATTTTGCATTTTTATGTAGATTAAACCCAGATCTTGTCATAATTGAAGGTGACTCTGGACGAGAGCAACTACAGAGGCTGGAGAAGGTTTAAGAGGTTTTATTGAGAAACAAGGCAGTGGACATGAACTGGAAGCAGTTTGGTCTGGTCAGGTTCTTCTGGGCTTAGTAGAGAGGCTGTGGTCCGGTCTTGGGGGGGAAGTGTCCCCGGTGGTCCGTGTGCTGACCAGTACTCTCTCCCTGGTTGGAGGTTCGAGGGTGGACAGGCAGGTGATCGCAGGTAGGAGGGCTGAACGGTGGTTAACCCGAGATCCTTCTCGGGTTCCTGGTTGTTTCTCAGGCAGAGGGTCCAAGGTCTAAGGTTCACGGCTGGGTCCAGGGGTCAGAAACAAGGGTTCTGCAGAAAAAGGATCGAAAATGGATTTAGACTAGGGTTTAACTTTTACTAGGACTAGGCTTGGGTTTGGTCTGTTACTAACGCTGTGACGTTAACAAACTGACGCCCTCCTCCTGGTTCCAGCTCCTTAAGAAGGGTGGTGATCACCTCAGATGTAGTGCACCTGCCCGTCCATCCCTGCAGAGGAGAGAGAGGGAAAAACTGGCCTGCACCCGGATAGAACCCAGAGTGTGACAGATCTGTAGCATCACATCTTTAAGAAAATGGAATCACAAAAAAATTAAATAAGATCTGCTGAAATATGGTGGTCAGTTGTGCAAAGAAGAAAGGTGCAGAACAAACAATTTGCCGCAGGGATGTCTTTATTCAAACTCCAGATTTAAAAAAACTCTTGTTATCACAAAAAGCAGGATTTGTTCAAGTTAGATGGATCTAAACTCTTTCCTGAAATATTCTTTCACTAATTAAACAGATGTTGTAAATTGTATTTTTTGTATTGTATTATCATGGTTTTTAAGTAGAGGCAGTAGAGGACGCAATGACGTCACAGGCCAGCATGCTCTGTGTTTACAAAAGTAAACATGGATGGTAGTGCCGGAGCACATCTGGAGATCTTTTCCAACCATAAAAACACAATCTTTTCAAGATGGTTAAACATAAATACTGCTCTCCGCATCTTGGTTGTTGTTTTTCTTGCAGCTTCTTCATAGCAAGGCCCAGAATAGTGACCTTTGTTGGGTATTAATGGCGTTCAGGTTGGATGAATGCAACCTGGCCATTCAGAAACAGGTTGCATTTGAAAAAAATCTGATTTGTCCGGATTCAGGACCACATAGCTAAGTGGCCTGGGTCACATTGGGAAAAAATCTGATCTGTGTTGTTCAGACAGCCATGAAAAGATCAGATACAGGTCGCATATGGGCCAAAAAATTGGATCAGGGTCACTTCAGGCTGCAGTGTGACTGTGAACGTAGCCTACGATTTCCTAAGAGCAGAGAGCTAAAATGACTATATCTCTGTCATGGTTTTAGTTCTGGTCAAGTTTTATCTCTGAGTTCTCATTGGTCTTATTTCCAATTTTGTTGTTTTTGATTGTATTTGAGTTTTTAGATATTTCTAGTTTGCCCTCTTGTGTCAGACTCCTTTTCCCTAGCACCCTTCCTGCCTCTGTTCACACCTGCTCCCAATCGGCTAATTAGCCTGGTCTTTCTTTCTCTCTGCCATATATTCTCCTCCTGTTCAGTCACTCTTTGCTGGTTTATCGTCATTTCTTTGCCTCCTTTTTGTAAGTATTCCTGGTTCACAGTTTTTGTGGCTTTTATGGATTTATGTTTTGGATTTTTGCTTCTGTTGAGCTTTTTGGTTAATTAAATATTCAAGAAAACACTTCAGCTTTTTATGTCTGCATTTGGGTCCTGTCAAACCTCCACCCCCACTGTGACAATCTCAACGAAATAGAATATCATTGAACACGTTATTTATTTCAGTGTTTCAATTAAAAAACTGTAACTTGCATATATCTTCCTCTCAGAATGTTTTGGCTGTTTATTTCTGTTAAGTCTGAATTTGGATTGAATTCTACATTGAAAATCTAACTTTAGTCTTATTTGTAAAATGTTATATATTACAATTAAAAACATTTTCATCATGAAGAAATGTTAGCCAACTTAAACACTGATATTTATGTGATGTACATAATAAGCATTTAGGCATTTGATCAGAGCCTCTTTTGCATTAATTACTGCATCAAATTCTGGGTGGTCAGCAAATGAAACTGTCGAAGTACTAGGAAGCTCAACTTGCTTTATTAGCAACTTTCATCTTCTCTGCATTGTTTGAGCTGCCCTGAATTTAAATACCACAAAATTTTAGGTCTTTATCCTAGCTCCTCCTTTTTCACCTTTTGTGGGGTAAACAGTGACAATAATATTGTGAGTAGCAAAGTAACTATAGACTGCTAAGCTGAATGCTGGAAGCTTTCAGCCTTTAGGACATCATTACGCAATGGAAGGACGTTCGGATGATGCTTGTCAAATCTTGGACCACAGCCTCACAAAAAAAGAACTATAAAAAAGCTAATTCAACCTGGAGAGAAAAACTGCATTTAGGTTTTATTGACATGAATAAAATAAATTATTTGGTGCTCAGGCCCTGGTGGAACACTTTGATGCTGCGAATTGACATCCACTTAGATGAGTAACCGAGGAAAAGGATTAGAGTATTCCCCTAAGTATAGCGTTGCAACTATTGTTGTAGTGCCATATTTTAACATTTCGTTACAGATTGGAAAATAAATTCAAATAAAAAAAAATAATAATTAAGGCTTTCAATTGAGGTGTATGCAACAGATACACATAATATTCATTTCACTTGAGAATAGAAATATAGATAATAGGCAAGAAAGTCAATTGTAGTTTTAAGCAGCATTTAATGAGAAACCTTTATTCTAGCCAGCAGGCTGTCACTAAACTCAGCTTTCAATGGTTTTACAGAAAAAAGGAAAAAAAAAATTTACATTATTTAACCCAGAAAAACGTGATTGCTGCTATCATATTTCTGTAGTACGTTCTAGAAAGCAGCAGGAGCCTAAAGATCAAAGAAGTAAGACTGCACTTTGAAGGCTACTTGTTTCAGTCCTACTGTCAGCTTAAAAAAAAAAAAAAACTCATTTGGGGGGTGGATTGGATGAGTAAAACCTTCTTAGTGGCTTTTCTGGTGCCCCTGATCCTCTTTGTTTCACTGCCCAAACTGCATCAGCACTGCTTCTGAGCAGGAGTGAAAACACTGTATCAACTGCACAACAGCGAGCTGTATGTGGGCAATTCCCCGAGTTAGGAGATGAGGTTTCTCCTGAAAAAGAGAGAATTTGCTCAGTCAGCTTGCCATGGCTTAAGGTTAAACACATCGGCTTTGGACTGTATGCAGTAACACAGAGCACCGAGAGAGACAAAATACCAGTTTAAAGTACATCTATCTAAGAAATGTGTGAGAGATATATACACTATATTGCCAAAAGTATTTGCTCACCTGCCTTGACTCACATATGAGCTTAAGTGACATCCCGTTCCTAATCCATAGGGTTCAATATGACGTCGGTCCACCCTTTGCAGCTAGAACAGCTTCAACTCTTCTGGGAAGGCTGTCCACAAGGTTTAGGAGTGTGTTTATGGGAATTTTTGACCATTCTTCCAGAAGCGCATTTGTGAGGTCGCACACTGATGTTGGACGAGAAGGCCTGGCTCTCAGTCTCCGCTCTAATTCATCCCAAAGGTGTTCTATCGGGTTGAGGTCAGGACTCTGTGCAGGCCAGTCAAGTTCATCCACACCAGACT